AACATACCATAAAAGGTAAGATTGTCGGGCTCTGACAAACGTGTTAGCAAGAGGCAAGAAAAAGCTCATACGATTTCCCTCACAGCAAAAACCTTGCAAGAAACCATGTAAAAAGATCATTTCATTTCTCAAAACATTTTATGCCCACTAACAGGAAAAAAGAGTTCCCATGCCTTGGGCAACAGGAAAGAGTTCTTCCCATTTTATAAATGGGCAAGTAGTTAATAAAAAATATTTATCCACATGACATCTCATTTACAAGCATTTTAGAAGATTGGGCGAGGGGTGGGGAAGGAATTACACATATATTGTTAGGTTTCTTATTGTTAAATCAGGCTTTATTGATAAATTGAATTTGAAATATTTTACTTGGAACAGCAGCCAACCCAGCTGATCAGGGAAATAAAACCAGTGCAGGCTCCTACTAAATATAGAAAGATACAGCTTCTTATGCAACTGATAATTGACAGCAATGATTTGCTCTAAAAAGGTGCAAATAATCAAAGCATTTTAACAGCTATGATCTATATTTATGGTCATCTTGCACAGTTGGCGAGCCTGTCTCCTCCTTTTATTGAATGTCTCACATATTTTAATGGGAATTTTAGACCCCACAGGAATTAAAAACAAGAAACAATTAAAAGTTTGATGGAGAATGAACTGTATTCCAGTTATTTTCCATGCCAGAGTTGCAATCATCTATTTTTATATAAAATATCATTTACATAATTTCTATGCACCTCCTGAGCATTTAGCTGGCTAAGATGCTGCTCCCAGCAATCCAGAACCACAAACATTAGGAAGGGCTCGATGAATGTTGTCTTGACCAACAAACAAAGCCTTTCATTTAATCTTACGTGATGTAAAGCAGTTCATTATTAAATAAGCATTTGTACAACTACAATTGCACTTTACAGAACAAAATCATACAACATAAAATTGCCTAGAGTCCAATTTACAACATCATGGGTTCAATTTCAATTTTACAGAAGTCTGTTTTTCTAAAAAATAAAAACCAGTTCCTGGGTTAGATGTTGGATTGCTGTTTTCTGCTGTAGTCACTTTCGCCAACACATCTTTTTCCTTCAATTAAGGTTCAAGATGGATGTTAAGAAGGGTCACTGTGGCACAGGTGCATTTTCCATAAGAAGGATGGATGTAAACTCCACAGCTTAGACGGGATTTACCACATATCATCAGTTGATGCAGAATCCTTAAAGAAAACAGAAGGAACCCTTTAAAGTCTGGAGCGCCCAAAATTGCAGCAGTTTCTGGATAATCCAGACTGGAAAGGGTAGATATGTCGATAATTTTAGGATTACAGTTTTCTTTTCTTTGTGAAGATCTTCACTTTGGGAATAACAATCTATGAGAATTGGACAAGAGCCCTGATAAACACAACTGCTGAGGTCAGACCTCATTTTCAACTGATTAAGTCCAAAGCTGGCTATCTTCAGATTTCAGATTTAACTGTGGCTAATGATTTAACCTAAAATTTATTCCTATGGACATTCTACATAAAGCCTGAACACACCAGAAAGGTCTCTGCAGGATCAATGGAAGAAGTTTTTAGACTTTTAAATGTAAGGACCAGGCCAGGTATATTTTAAATAGTTTTTTTTTTTTTTAAACCATCTCCGTTTGCCATTTTCCTTTTTTTTTTCTCCTAAGCCATTCTTGAATAAGATACTGCTGGACTACATAACAGGTCTGTGCGAATGAAGAGTGGCTTGAATGCCAGATGCAGACAGGCATCAACTGGATGCTATGAAAGAAGCAAGAGCATTAGAGTTTTGCTGCAACTCACCACTTCTTAGCCACAGTCCTGATATGCAGTATTACATTCAGACTTTTAAAAAGATAAAGGGTTTTCCTGCTCTCCTAGCATTTGAAAGCAAGATTAATTCTGAAGAGGGGACCAGACATCTAGACATTCAAGATTTCTAGAAATTCTGAAGCTATAGTAAGCCACTGAGACAAGCATTCTTAGAAAACAATGTATTCAGAGAACTGCAATATAAAAGTAATTTTCTAATCAGTAGCACACTTAATTTTCTGAAACAGTATGCTTAACTTAGTATGTAAAATTATACAGTTTGATATATTTATGACAGTTCAATTGCTTGACCCAATGATACCCAAAACATCTTAGTTTGGGCCAGTGAAAGGGCTGGCGGGAGAACCGGATACCATCACCAATTTAAGAAACTAAACTACATTTGTGTTTTCTGCACCTGCAATGGCACCTTCTTGCTATCAGCATGATACATAACAGGAAAAAACATACAAAACCCTAGAACTCCTTTCCTGAGGATAATTAGGGCACATTATAATGCTGGGAAGTGTAGAACTCACTTGTCCCATTATATTTCCAATTCCTAGAAAAATTGATCAAAACCTCTAAGAACATTATTTCTGCCCAAAGTTTCCATTAAGTCACCCTGGCCTTCACATCTCTATGAAGGATTAAATTACTTATGTTACATTTCACTTTAAAGTAGAGGGTGACATGGGGCTGGATTTAGTCATGCAGGATGTATTCAGTAATTCAGGCATACAATCCACCCTGCACAGGACCTCTTTCTTTTCTTTGCCGCCAGCCCCGCTATGACTTCACTCCTATGAGTTCACTCAATTATTCTTCTTTCAATTCAGAGCGAAGCGTTCCAGATTTTACAAATACATCATTAGAATTATACAGAGAAGTTGTGTCCACACTGCACTAGAGACTTTTCCACCAGTCCCTGCTGCTAACTTGAATGCTAAGCTGACAAGGAGAAGGTTAGCGGCTCTTTTCATCAGTTGCCTAGTTTGTATGCATGAGCCCCAGCCCCCATAACATCTCTCAAAGAGCAGAAAAGAAGCTTTCCGGAAGTAAGAAAGGTTGTTTTTGTGCCATGCATTATGTGCCTGGAGCACACAGGAACAATGCGTGAACATGTTTGCAACAGAAGAAGGTAGAGACAAAAACACCACGACAGCAAATGGGAAGACTGCAGATGGTTGACATCCTGGTAATTGATAATACAGTTAAGGAAATCAGAAAATTTGTGTAGTGAGTTTCCATGCGAGCATCAAACCTCAACAGTGAGCCACAATCCAGTGCTGAGGCAGGGGCATGCTAAAGGCACACGGCAACTATGGACTTGCTGCCCTGAACTGCACTGCGGCACGACACATGGCGATTTAGATGCAACATAAGTTTCCCAGTGAAATTATTTCACAATCTTGCCCTCAAAATGAAGTTAGCTATTTTCTCCAATGTTTGTGTGTTCATACTGAATTATCTTGGTATCGGGTGATGATCTTGGAAATAGTCAAGTTGCATACCTGTAGCTGTCATTCTTTGAGTGATCATCTCTGCATTCACACATATGGGTGCTGCATCTGCACGGTGCCTATGTTCAGGAAGATTCCTCTAGATAAGCCTAGAATTTTTGGTGGGATCCCTGCCCACCCCCCACCCCCCGTTATAGTTGGGCTCCCACCATTTTCTTAGTTCAACTAGAGACTGATGTTTGCCCTTTGTCTTGGTCCCTAACTGTCCTATTACTGTGTAAACAGTAGGTAGAGAGAGAAACATCCACCAATACCAACATAGGGCCAGCAGGTGGGTTGTGTGAATGCACAGATGACCACTTGAAGCACACTTACAGGTATGCAACCTGGCTTTCTTCATCATGCTCTCTGTGCATCACACATATGGATGGCTAGCAGGCATACCATCAAAGGAGGTGGGAGGTGTTGTTACTGAAGTATAGATGACAACACAGCACAACCAAACCTGTCTGGCCTGAGGATTGAGTCAATAGTGGTAGATGAATGTAGATGGTGTTGACCACGAAGCTGTTCTGCACGGTGCATCCAATCATAGTCCCATTTGGAGGGCCATTGATGTTGATATCGCCCTGGTGGAATAAGCTCTAGGGTGACCCAACAAGACCAAAATCGCTAGCTGGTACACTAATTTAATTGTCTCTATGGTCCGGTGGGCACGGTGTTGAGGACTGACTGGCTCACCTTTGGAGTGGTCTGCATATATAATGAACGTTTTGTCTTGTGAACTCACTTGGTTCATGATCAATAGAAAGCTAGTGCACAATGAATGTTGAGTGTATGAAGAGTCTTCTCAATGTCCATAGATGGCAACAGGTAAAAAGGTGAGAGCACTATTTCTTGATTTATGTGGAAAGAGGAGGAAATCTTAGGGAGGAAGGGCGGGTCAGTATGGAGGACCACTTTCTCTTTGTGGAATGTCAAGTGTGGAGGATCTATCTGTTCTGTGAAGAGTCCACTTGCTCTGCGAGCTGAGGTGATGGCCACCAGAAAAGAGACCTTCCAAGGGACGAGGTGCAGGTTCATGGTCATGAGTGGTTCAAAGAGTGGCTTTGTCAGTGCGTGCAACACAATGGACAGACTCCAACTGGGGACAACAGAGCGAACAGGAGGATTTAGAAACACAGAAACAGAGCGAGTCAGAAGGGGTTCCCTGGGCCATCTAGTCTGACCCCTGGCTCCAGCCAGCTCCGCTCATGACATGTCCACTATGTGCATGTCTAGCCTATCCTTGAACACTCTCACCGATGGGGCCTCAACCACCTCCTGTGGAAGCCCATTCCATACCCTTGGGGTCCTAACTGTCAGGAAGTGCTTCCTGGCATCTAATTGAACCTTGGCTCCCTGAGCTTTGCTCTGTTGGAGCACGTCCTGCCTTCCTCTGCAGGGGAGAACAGGCCTCCACCCACCTCCGTGTGACACCCCCTCACGTACCTGTATTTCGCCAACAGATCCCCTCTGCGTCTCCTCTTCTCCAGGCTGAAGAGACCCAGTTCCCTCAGTCTCGTCTCATACCCCATCCCCTGCAAACCAGCCACCAACCTTGTGGCCCTACACTGCACTGACTCTAACCTGGCTATATCCTTCCTGTAACGAGGGGCACAAAACTGAACACAATACTCCAGTTGCAGGCACACCAGAGTTGTACAGAGTGGTAGTAATACCTCTCTCGATTTAGATTGTTGAGAACTTTCATGAAGCAATGTGAAAGGGGTGGAAGTTGAGTAGCCCTCAATGGGACAGGTGGAAATTGTGGACAGGTATCCCTTGATAGAAGTTGGTTTACATTCTCTTTGGTGTAGGGAGCACAAAAATTCTAGTATCTTTTGAATGGTTCCCATAGCTGGGTCGAAGGAGTGGTCCTTCACATAACTCCTGAATTTTGTCCATTTAGTTGAATGGGAGTGTCTAGTGGTAGGACACAGTGAAGCTTGTAGAATAGCTCAGACTCAAGGGTCCAAGCCAGTCATTGTGGCTGTCAAATAATCGATCATATTACTGAGGGAAGCTTCAATGGAGATGTTTTTTGAAGTTGTTAGAAATGGGATATTAGATATGGAGTTTTGGACAGGTGTAGGAACTTGTAATTGGAGAGGGTTCAGGGAAGTAAGCATGGTCATTAAGAAATCAGCCATGCCATCAGGTAAGCCTTTGAATGTCAGGGTATAGTAGCATGCCCTGCACTTAGGACAGCAAGTTTGGAATGGAGGGTCAGTATAGGAAATGCCATGTGCCCTAGTAGCTGAATTTTTTTAATGGAGGATCACGGTTTGGTGTGCAGGTCAGTGGTTGCAGCCATGAGTTTTTCCATCTGGTCTCAGGGTAGGCACACTCAAGCCAACATGGAATCAAGGACCGCTCCAATGTATACAATAGTTTATGAAGGAGCAAGCATGGATTGTTCAATGTTAATGCACAGACCCAAGCAGTGAATAGTGCAGGTGGTTTCAATTGACCACAGTAAGTCCTGTTTGTATCGGCTACTAGCAACCTGTTGTCTAAGTAAACATGTACTCTGTGGAGTTGCAAACATGCACACACTGGAGCCATGCATTTGGTGAACACTCTTGGTGCCATGGATAGGCTGAATGGTAACATCTTGAACTCAGTACCAATTTGGAACCATAGAAAGTGGGTGTAGTTGGGATGGATGCTGATGTGGAAGTACACATCCTTCAAATCTATGGATGCGAACCAGTCCCCTTTTTTGTAATAGCAGCATAATGCTTTGCAGGAAGACCATTCAGAACTTTTGAGTGAGATGAAACAGTTTACTCCCTGCAGATCCAAAATGGGCCGCTGACCGCCATCTTTTTCCCCAACTGGGGGTGATATGTTACTTAAGCAACTGGTTCCTGCTACCCATCAGCACTGCCCCTTATTGGCATCAAGCTGTCGCTTGCCTTGCTGGGGTCAAGCAGCATCTCGATGGTGTTGGCGGTTTTGTGGTTGCTGTCCATATGGAGGATGCTCATGATAGGGACCTGGATGTCTGGTGTGGAAGTCTTGGCAGTAGGAGGGTCAGGCCCATGGCCACTTATGTGCCCTTAGTTGCACTTAGAATGGGCCAATGCCCATATGTAGTTCTAGCCTTCTTTTGTCCATGTGGGCATGGAAGAGACCTTCTCTATCGAACAGCATGCTCTCGATCTGGGAACATGTCTCCCGAAGGAGGTTAGCTGCCCGAATATTCAAGCCCCTCAAATCACAGTAGCAATTTGTTGTTTTGCTTCAGTAAGGAAGGCTCTGGTGAGCTCTTGTTGATCTGGAAGAAAAGCAGCCAAAGCCTCCATCTTCTGGCACAAGACCTGCTACCTCACCATAATGAGCTTTGTAATTCAAGATACGGAGGCTCGGGCTCATCACGGTATATATCCGTCATACCATCGCGTTCAAGGGGTGACCCTCTCTATGGTCTCCATGAAGCCTTCCTTATGTGGATTCAACAATGATGGAAATCAGGTGTGGATGGTGCAGAAGGTAGGGAATGTATCTCTCCTATACCCAGTACATCCCTTCCAGTCAGTGGAGGGTGGGATGCGGCCGGTTGGGAAGTTCCCAGGGTTCTTTCTTTGCTCTGGCCAGTGTTGGTATGAATGGTATTGCTACTGGAACTGAGTCCTCCATCTGGATCACTTCACAGATGAGGTCTTCATTAGGCTTCATAGTTCACTGAACCTGGATGCTTAACAATGTGGTCAGCCAGAGGACTTGCTCAGAAAAGTGACCAAGGGTTTCTCCTGGGGATCCCAGGTCTTCAGAGGTGGCTGCATTATCTGGCAAAGTTGAAACGGGCTCCGCAGAGCCTGCCATGTGAGAATCGGAAGTGTAGTCCATTGGATTTGATGACTAGGACCTGGTTGATAGAGAGGATCTTTGGACACCTCCAGGGTGCTGCTGAATGGATGGCTGCAGAATGTTAGAGGTGCCCGGCTAGGATTTGGGACGTCAAAGTGATCCTGGTGGGAACCAGTGCTCCATTGGTCTGGCTGGAGCTGGTGGCCCTGTGCAGTCACAGGAGTCCGTAGCACGTTCCCATGAGGGAAGTACTGCACTGGGAATGGGTATGCAGCCCAGTAAAGGTTCCCCCTATATATGGTTGTGACATTGAAGTCCCCCACGGAATGATGAAGGGATATCGGGAATGGGTTAGTTGATGCAGGACCAAATGGACGAGGTGTCTGAGGGACTGGTTCAATACTCGCTTCATGGTGTAATGTGTGCAGAGATCTAGGAAGGGAGGCCGGAACAGCTGGAGAATGGCCCAGTGAATCTCCCCTTCAGAGGATGATGCCAATCCCACCTATTCAGGGTGGCCCCTACTGCGGTCTGATCAAGCCAGAGTAGCTGGGGGAAGGACAGAGTGGCTCAGGCTGGTAGTGTGACTTGAAGCAGACAAGGTGGCCAGAGAGGCTGAATGGATTGGCGAGCCATGACACTCAGAACGAACGGGAGAGTGGTGTTCTTAAGTTTAGGCTTGTAAGGCTTTTTAGCCTCTTTGTGGCCCTTGGATGTAAGGTGCTTTCATTTTTCTCTGCGGTTCTTAGGTACATCTGTGGCAGTCAATGGCTTCAAAGCTGTTGAAGTTGGCTTCAGCTTGCCTGGAGCACCAGTCGATGGATGCTTTTTCATGGCCTCTTTTGAAGTGAAGGGGCCTTCACCCTTGCTGCCGCCAACATCCTTCATAGCAACAAGAGCACGTTTCCACATTTCCATCTTTAGGCAACCAGCCCTGTTCTTCCTGGCTTGCTTGGTGAAGGCCTGGAAGAGTGGGCACTTGTCCACATGATGTTCCTCTTTTAAGCAGAAGAGAAAAGGAGAATGGCCATCGGTAGACGGCATTTTAACTCTGCATTCTGCACATTTCCAAAACACCAAATTTAATGCCACCGGGAGAGAAAAGGAGGCAAATAGAAAAGGTAAGAATAACAAGGGGAGAGATGATAAAAGGGCTTATTTTTTAAATTTTTGTGAGGTGGTGAGGTGGGAAGGAGAGGTTGTGAAAATGGGAAATAGGTGAGAGTGAAAGCATCTCAGAAGATCAAGAAGGAATAAGAATTAAGAGTTGTAAAAGAACGCTTGTGAGGTAAAAGGCTACAATAAGAGCTAGAGATCCTGAGGCACTGCAAATAGCAGTTGAAAGTGGACTGAGAAAATGGCAGGAGCCCACCTATTTAATATAACGGGGGTGGGCGGGGGGGCACTCTTGCCAAATATTCTAGGCTTAGCTAGAGGAGTTTTCTCAAACACAGGCACTGTGCAGCTGCAGTATCTATATGTGTGATGCACAGTGACCATGACAAAGAACTGGAGGTTTTTGTTATATGAACATAATATATTTTAAGGAATGGCAACCTTTCAAGCAATCAGGATTGTTTAAGATAGGTAGTAATGACAGGCTGGCTGGAAAGCACCAATACTCACAGCATCATCATTTCTGTAAGGATTCAGTCTGTTATAAACGGCTTCAATTACGCTCCGTCTAAAGCAAGCAAAAAGAAAGGGGTTTAAATGCCATCATTTCATTGAGGCCAAATGCAACTTTAAAAGTTTCCTAAAATGGAAATACTTTGAAACTAACAGCTTATCAGTGTCATTTAATATTAGTAATAATTTGCCTACCCATTTATAAAAATTGTATGCCACCTTCCTGTTAAATGGCATCCAAGTGGGATTATCAAAATGTCATAAAGCCAACCCTAAAAACAAACTGACTGAATAAAACCATACGAATCTCCATAGATAGATGAAAGCAACAATTAAGGTATTCAATTGTACTTCACAGACATTCTATGTACCAAACTGGAGAGATAAATCTATGAATCAAGTTAAATACTACAATAAATTAAACCAAAACAAATGCAAACCACAACATCCAAATAAAAAGACAGGCGTTATCTGACACCTAAAATAGATTAACACAAGGTGGATTCATTGATGGAGTTCCCATCTACTGTTACATTCCTGGCCATGAAATTCTTACCTTATGGATTTTTTTCTATTTTTTTAAAGCTTTACAATAAAGCTTACAAATATAGACCACAGGCTAAATCTAAAGAATCATTCAAGAATCAGAAAACACTAGTTGTGGGCCAGATCCAAAGGACAGAACAACAGGTTGTATGTGCCCAAGTGAGCTTCTGCTTTATGAAGAACAGACCCATGGTAAACTTTCAAAAATCTTGGTGGCAAAGCTCAAGCAGTTGACCATGGCTCAGGTAGGTTTCAGGATCCTAGCGTGTATGTGAAATTTCCAGGAACACCTGCACTCTCTACAACAGGGAAATTGGACACATCGTTACAAGCTCATCTAGACAGGAAATTCTCACAGTTGTTCTGGATCTGCCAAGCTAAGTGCACAGTAAATCCCACTTCTAAAATCCAAGATCAATTTAACTCACCTCTAATTCAAAAGTGGCAAAAAGTCAGAAACTTCCATGCAAAAATTTCAAAATAGCATAGGTTAAAAAATTATGTAGAATTGCAAGAACAAATAGGCCAGTTTGCACATCATGACACAAGGACTTGCCAGGATGTGTGAGGCCTATGTGGCTTCTGGTTCCTGTAAACAACATCCAATTGGCCTGATCAGAAGTTTTGAGTGCGACATGCAAACCTGGACCAACAGTTGAATCGCTTGATCATCTTAAACAACCCACCAGTACAGGTTCACATGTCATGCTCACATCGAAGTCTGTTGACAGTAAACAGAAGTCGCTGACAGTGGCATTCATCCCTGTTAATTGTGAGATAAATAACCCACTATTTACCTCCATAAAGTGCAAACTGAGTCAAGAAACGGTTTTAACTTACAACCTCAAATACGCTGCAATGAATAATTTTTTGAAAAAAAATTAACCCTGTTTTTGCTATAAAAATAATTCAATTTATAAATCATTCAATTTATAGCCTCTTTGAGATTATTAAAAATATAAAGGCATTAAAATCCAAGATGATCACATTATAAGAAAGCTAGAATTAAAACACAGTTCAAAACAGAATAAAAAGCAGGAACGTCAAGAATGTACAGGCAGTCCCTGGGTTACAAATGAGTTCCATTCCTGAGAAAATGCAAATTCCTCTTTAAGTTGAATTTCGTATACAAGACAGATCACATACAGTTGGCTCTTCATGTTGCAGGAATTAAGGGAGCAGGACCTCTGTAGAAGTGGAAAAACTGTGAATATCTCTAGCTGCCACCCCCATTCACCAGTGCTTCCTCTTTGTAGTAAGGAAATGCCAGAGAGATTTCCCTCTCCAGTTGGATGGGTCAGGAAGGCCTGCTTTGGAGGCTTCCCCCTCTACCCTTTTACTTCTCCTCTATGGTGATGCTTTGGAGGCCTTCCTTCTCTCCCCATCCGCTTCTTCTCTATGGAGATTTCCTGTAGTAGGCCTTTAACTTGCATTTCTAAATTAATAGACTTTATGACCAAGTGTTTGTTAAGTATGGGTTGTTCGTAACTCAGACGTTCATAAACCACGGACTGCCTGAAGTTCAAAAAGCAGTGCTAAAAAGGCTGACTGTTAAAAGATAGCAGTGACAGGACCAAATAATCCTTCGTAAGCAAGGTGTTCCACGGTCTCAGTACTGCCTCAGAAAGACCCAACCCCTCATGTTCCTTACCACTTCTGACAGTGAATGGACGCAAAGCAGGGTCTCCAATGAAAAAAAAAAGTTAAGCATTTTTATATGAATGAATATAATTCTTAAGATATTCTGGTCCCAATCCATTTTAAACTAGCTCATAAATTAAATAAACTGATAAATACAGAGGTCCTGACATTATAGTATCTGATGTACTGATAATTACTTTGCGGTAATATTTGGCCTCATACTATCTGTTGAGCATTTTGATATAATTAAAGTTCCAAAAGTTTATCTTGTATTTATGTTTATATGCTCCACACAATTCTATCAAGGAAGTCCATTAATCCACCTCTAAGGTTTATAAAATGAAACAAGAAAGTCAACTATGTATTAGATGAAACTGTAGCAATATGTACCAAATAAAAACTATTTTGTGCACTCAACAGCACACAAACTGAAATAGCAAAACTATCATAGCCTTGCACCTCAAGACATAAAAATGATTAATATTTAATTACTTCTGTTAAAAAGGCTACCCTTAAAAATAGGCTGACCTTTCTTCAGCTGTGATAGGACACAGATTTAACTTTAATTTTAGCATCCACCTCCCAGTCAGCCACAGGACAGTGTGCATGCTTTCTTTTCCTCGTTTAATCTAACGCCAAATTTGAAAGAAATGGCTAAGGTTAATGCTGGTAAGCCACTTTTGAAATAAGTTGGTGGGTTCCCACTTTTTAAGAATAGCCTTATGAGAAAACATGCATACTGATTTAAAAACAAAAGCAGATTCAGACTGATGTAAACTTACTTGCTTGCCAGTTCACCTCCTGGTGGAAGGTTTGGGATGCTCTCTGTTTGTAAAGTACGCATGACGTGCACTAAGTCTGGCACTCCTTCACCCTGCTTCTTTATGATCTCTGGGAATCAGAAGTACTTTCTTTGTAAATTCAATCCAAATGCAATTAAGAATTCAACATTTAGTTTAATCAAAGATGGACTAAGGCTTCAAAAACTTGTCAAATCGAGAATTACCCCTTAAGTGACTTTGGTACCCTATTAAAATAGTGGGAGAGGAAAAAACAGTTCTATGAGATGTCCTTGTATTAATTACATCAGTCGTCCGTAGATCTTATGATTCAAATTTCAGAAATGCACAATATATTAATTTGATTAAATCATAATCTAAAAATATCAAAGTTTTGATGCTGTTATGGTATTGCAAAGGAACTTGTGCTGCCAGAGAACTGAGATCTTGGCTGCTTAAATTGCCTGGGAGAAAAACAAATTAGTTATAAATAGACTTCACAGATAAATATAACTGCCATTTTTAGCCAATGAAAATTGTACACTCCAATAGAGTAGCTACCATTAAAATATGACTGATATAGTACAAATGATACCACCTTAAATATAAACTCTTGTGAAATGACAAATTTTGCATTGCACAGCAAAATTATGTGGTTATAAGGCTCAAACAAATTCACACAAATACTTAAGCCCTATTATATATGAATGGTCAAAACAGCCAAGAATCTGAATTCAGTTACACCACTGGCATTGCCTTTTAAGCAATATGTGAGCACCGAATGCACTACCTATAGCATTCTCAATCCAGTTTGAAGTCCACTGCAGAGAATCTACATTTTATACAGCACACCAGGAAGCAAGATTTTAAATCCTTAGAATTTTTACCTAAGAAATCTTGGATCTAATTTTCCAAGATTCTTTATATTCCAGCTCCATGGTTGAACAACTAAAAAGCCATTTTTAGAAAGATAAAAGAAATATATATGGATATAAGAATTTGCCTTAAAGCAAGTGAGACTGCTGAACTGTTTAGCCCAGTACTGTCTCCCTTAAATGGCAGTGGCTCTCAGAGTTTTCAGGCTGAGTTATTTCCCTGCTTTGCTACTGTAAGAAAAACTGTTGAAGGCATAAAGCCTTTTACTTACAAATATTTTCTCCTGCAATATGTTGGACACTCAAAAACAATATAATGGATACTACTAGGAATACAATTGTTTTAAATCATTATTTTGGTCTTTTGGCTAACATGCTTGAGTAAAACTTCATGAAAATACCTGGAAAAAGACTAAGATGAGAAGCAGTGTCTTCCCAAAGTTCATCTGTAATGTTAATGTTTCACCCAAAATAAAATGAGTATCACAAAAATAAAACACCAGTAAGCTGTATGAGAACCATCTGAACAAGAACAGGATTGGGTAAAGTAATCTTAGGAAGCATGAAAACTATGTTTCAGTAACCTTTTAACCAAGGAAGTTTCAGCCCCATTTGTAGACTGATAGCAGGCACACTGGAAAAAGTGTAAGTGGCCAGGTATCACATTGGCAGGACTTTAAATTTAACATTAACTGATTTTTATAAAAAAAAAAAAAAAACCTCTACATAAAGAGCCATTAATAGTAACCAAAACCTAAAGAGCTGCTTAGGTATATGTGAAAAGTTTACCCAGGCAATCACTGACTCCCCTGTCTTTTTTGAACAGCTGACCCCACCTCACTTTCAAAAACACAGTGCTCTGCAGCATGGAGAGCTGCTGCTGAGGGAAAATAAGGTTAGTTACATGGTTCTTTGGATCCTGGACAGTATTTTGAAGAAAATACTTGACTGAGACTCATTATTTTAAAGATGAATTACTAGGGCCAGAATTTGCATTTCACCATCTACTATTTAGGAGAAAGGTTTCTAATACTGAAAACTAAATAAAGAGCAAAGATCTCAGATTTGTTTTGTCAAGTTCTTTTATTGTGAATTGTGAACAACTAGCATAGTCTACATCACTCTAACGCTATGTTGTTTTTGTACAAAAATAAAAGGGATTTAAATCTGTCTGAACTAAACAGTTCCATGACCTAAAGCTGCAGTACATTTGAAATACATTCTCCACTAAAATACATTTTTACTCAATAGAGAGATATGTACAATCCACAAATAATTTATGGCACAAATAGAACCAAGCTACTGGCCTTTATCTAGTAATATCTTGTATCAATGCATATTGCAGCTCTTTCTCATTAACTTAAAACACCTTCTCAAACTGTGGCACAGAAAATTAATGAAAGGCAGACAAAAACTGTTGAATATAACTTTAAAACAACTGTTCTTAAATAAAAAGTGTAGTGTTTTTAAAAGTCTAAAAAACATTCTATATATTACACTTTGGGGAGAATGTTATTGCAGCCAAAGATCAGCTTATCCCCTTTCCTAAATGAGAGAAAACATCTAAACATTGGGTTTTTATTGATGATCCGTAGTCTACACCACTCAGGTTGATCAAATTAAATGAATTCTTTGAAATACAGACACTTAAATGGCATATTTATTCAACATATATGTATTACAAAATGTATTCCAAAACATGGTTTTCCTACCCAATCTGTAAAGTGCTGAAAAATGTACTATAGCTAATCTTATTTTCTGTCTTACACTTAATAGTTTATTTTGCAATATTAGGGGTTTTTGTGTGTTTCAACAGGAGAAATATAAATTAAAATTGCCTGTGAGTTTTGTCAAACATGCCATTTTAAAAGAAAAATGCACACTTTGAAATACTTGTTCTGATGTTTCCAGGAAATAGCAGAAAGCGATTATTAAGGACATTTCTGGATGATTCAACTGTTATATGAACATGTTTATTTTCCTGAAGTAAGAATGTAGCAGCTATTAATCAGAATATTCCTCTTCTGATGATGAGGACAGGTATGCCACCTTTAGTGCATGCTAGACAGATTTTGTAGTTCAGAGGCTGACTATTTTTCCTAACCTCCTCTTTAGCATGACCCACATTTAAAAAGTGAGTTTTAAAAAACAATTCAAGGGTAGTATGCAGTGGCAGATGGGGGCTTAACAGAAAACACTGCAAACACTACCCTTTGGATCATGGCCATATCATTTATTCATATATAGTCTAACCATTTCCCCTCCCTCAAACCAGTCTCATATTGATGCAGATGTGTTATTCTTGGCATTTATGGGATTTGCTCATATTGGCTGATACTCAAAGAAGCTCATGCATGCAAAGTGAACACATACACAGAGAACGAAGAATTTCCTTCCTGTCTGTAGCTCCTCATACCCTACCAAAGTATGCTCAAGAACACATTCTGCTCTTCAGAAGCAACTTTTCAGGTGTACAGAGCCGCAACAGGATGAAAAGTCCTTTTGCTGCACATTACATATAACCTTTTGTATTCCAGACACTGAATGTAATTTTAAGGTTTCAAGACAAGGAAAACTATCACATGGACAACAGGAACAAAAATTCCTAATGTGTGTCCACATTTTACATATTAAATTTGGATAAATCTCTCACTGGATCAATGCAGATAATGTTCCTTAACCACAGTTAATGTAACAAGGAACAAGCTGCATTATATCCAACCTACCATATATCTTGCATTTCAACCATCCACAGAAAGCAGCTCTTAAAAAGGAAAATTAGCAGCCATTCTTTGCATTTCCCCAGCTTAAATAATATGAGCTATAAGGAGCACATTTAATAGTACCATTAATCATGTATATACATCATCTTGTAATAATTTTTACAACCACCATCTGAAACAGCTTGGTTTTAATGATTCCCCTTATTGGAGATGGGGACTGGGAGAAGGTCAAGGGAAGGTGGCTTGCCTAAGATCACCCAGGCAATTCACAGCAAAGATGAGATGAAAGATTTAATGATTCATAGCTCAGTCTCCTAGCACTGTACTTCAGCAGCTTTCAATGAATATGCTAATAAGTCAGTTCAAGACTAACACAACAAAATAGGCACCTGTTATTTTTTTATGTTGTGTGATGCCTTTTACAGAACAAAAAAAAGCAAGTGCATGAAACGTTTAACTCAATAGTTAATACAGCAAACACAAATACATCTCACACAAGTGCATGATACTGATGACTCGATTGACTTAATTACCTTCAGCTTAGATCCATAACACCATTTTATCAGTACTTCTCTTTCAAAAATCTGATGATTTTGTACTAAATAAGGGATTTATTTATTTAGAACAGATATGCACTCAAAGTGGTTACCTTAAAACCTGCAACTCAAATATATGACTTAACAGTAAGTAAACCCTGTTTACAAACTGGGGCTTACTTCAGTGTAAACATGCACAGGATTCCACTGCACATGTTCAAAGGCACTATAAAATACAGATTGTTGCACCTTTTAAATCTATGTTTTAACTAGAATCAGTTTTGAGCCATATGACACAAAATGTAAATTACCATATTAAAACTACTACTATACTAATTTCAAAAGTACCCCTATGCAGCTGTAACAGATGATGATAAATATTCCCTTAAATATAATCATGTTGTGATAAGCTGTCTTCCCAGAAAGTTGGATCCAAAATCATTTACAGCTTAAATGCACAGCTGATATCAGTCTTGCTGTAAATGTTATGCTCAGACCTTTACCTAGTGAACTTTTTGTAAGCAAACTTCAAGAAAACTTATTCTAATAGGACATACTGCACATGTCCAAACAGGCAACAAAAGTACCTTTGTGAGATGGTGAGATGTAAACTAAACATCCTATGGCACTTAAGGATTTGATAAAGAACCTATAGACATTTAGTGCTTGACTGTTGGGCTTTTGTTTAGAAATGAAGTTACTTATTTTTTTTTAAAAGAGCCACCTTCTACTCTGCTCTCCAGGAACTTGTCCAGCTCTGCCTCTCTCTTCACTGCCTCTGGTAATACCTTTGGTGCATTTGGAAAACAGATCAGTATCACACTCATGTTGTCTCGGCTTCCCTGGAAAGGAGGAGGGAAAATAAGAAATTTCAGACAAAGTTCTAATTTTCAACAAGTCTGATAAAATTGTTCTTCAAAGTCCTGACCCAACATAATCAATTCTTTGTTTCAAAATGCTTTATACTAGTTCCCAATACAGACTACAACCACAGCACTAGTAAAATAAAGCATAGGTTGCCTCAGGAAACAAAAAAGCAGGGCCACCTTCTCACATATTTTTAATGAAGTTGAAGCTTAATGTCCCAAAAAAACAAACAAACAAACAAATTTAAGAATTGGAACAGAAGAAGTTGATCTATTTGATCCTCAGCTACAGGCTTTTAAAAACCTAAACCAGATATAATATTATTTGCCAGTACCATTATACTTGACTTAAAAAATCAGAAGCAGCACCAAGTGGCTGAAAGAAAACAACCTGGTTTAGACACAATCCTTTCCCCTCCAGCTATCTTGCCAGTTAAACTATACTGTACAGCTGTCTGTCTCCAATGGGGAGAAGATATGGCAGCTATATCTCTTCACCCAGGACTGGTAAAGCAACTGGGGGTGAAGAGTTGCAACAAACTGACTCAAACTGACTCTAAAAAGATAGTATCAGCTGTTTGCACTCATTTACTCATGAAAGTATTTTTCACTGTAAGAGCTCATACAATGCAAATGTCAGCAATATAGAAGCAAAATAGGTTCAATTTAAAGGCATTTGTTTGATATTGGACTGCTTCAAAACCCAGCCATCAGCTGATTATGGTTAACAAGGCATCTCTTCATGATTCCTGCATGTCTTACTAACAGCGTAACTTAGAAATCATACATATTTTATTTTTTGCAATTCAAATATTTCCTTCAGAACTTTCAGCTACCTTGTACAAGCAGGTGTCGACTATCTCATTGCAAACTTTTTCAAGGTCGTCTGTGACTTCAAGCCTTGATCTGACGAATTCACACAGCTCTTCATTTCCCATAACATCCCAGATACCATCACAAGCCAGTATGATGAACTGATCATCTTCTTCTGATCTTTCAATTTCATAAACTTCAGGCTCAGGGGAGACAAGCTGCTCTGTAGGACCTTTCCCATGGACACATTTGTAATCAAAATCCCCAAGTGCTCTAGACACAGCAAGAGAGCCATTCACACGCTGAATCATTACTGAACCACCTGCATTCTGTATACGTTCCTTCTCCAATGGATTATTTGGTTTGTGATCTTGGGTAAAGAAATGCACCTTCCTGTTTCTACAAAGTAAACCTCTAGAATCTCCACAGTTGATAAAGTAAGTGTGCTGGGGAGAAATCAAGACTCCCACAGCTGTTGACCCGCTTCTGTCCGCACCATGTTTCTTCTCTGAAAGTAGCCTCATTTGTTCATCAATTTGCAGAAAACCTGTTCTGATTCCAGTCTTTACACTTTCCACAGATGGTGAAGCACCACGCCCCTTAAAATCGTGATTGCTTGTGATGTGATCTAATAAATGCTCGCAGCAATATTTGGCAACTTGGGATCCGGCATGTCCATCATACACAGCAAAAAAAGACCATCCATCAAGTCCATTTGGTAAGCCAATTACAGCTGTATGCGCATCCTCCATCTCAACTCGCCAACCTTGCATGCTACTGAGGCCATAACGCAGTCCATTGCCCTGCCCTTGGGCATTGTGCTTCTCCATCTTTGGCTTATCTAAAAAAGCTCCCATGATTTCTTGTCTTTTCAGTTCTATAGAGACAAAAAGATTTGCTGTTAAACTATTGCTAAGGAACAGTTTGAAAGTTAATCTTACTTTGAACATATTGCTTAAAGGCAGTGACACAAGCCCGAATTGCAGTCCTTATCATATGAAAATAAGAGAGTAAAGCTGAACCATACATTGATAGCCTTAACTTGAACTGTTGGGGGTTTTGTTTTTTTTAAGAATTTATGGGTTTCATTATGTGTTATTTTTATAGATATTAAACACTATGCAAGAGAAGGATTTACTCTTTATTAAGGTGGCATTTATCAAACTATCAGCAGTTAGTGTAAGTAAATCAAATCACTGCTCAAACTCTTCAGAAATAAACTATGTTTCTTGGCTTCTTCGTTGCACTGTGCAGTATGGTATACTCTACTGTATATAGTAATATTTATTTTATTGTTTTCATTTCTATCCCATAATTCAACCAAAATTATGCTCCAGGCAACTAGTAATAAAAGATGGCAAAATGACAACTCTAACTAAAACATTGCAGTCCGTCAATTAAAAGCGTGCTCAATAAATCACAAAGAAAAGTCCATTAGTAAGTAACAGCAGCACCCATCCGATTAAGAACTTAGTCTAGAGGCTTAAAGCCTGACTGGATAACAATATGTTTTGCCCAATGATGGAATGATAACAGAGATAGAGCTAATTTAGCTTGCCTTGCCAAGGAGTTTCAAAAACTGGGAGCAGCAACCAAGAAAGCCCTCTCTCAAGTCATGTCAAACATACCCCTAAATAAGGATAAGACTGACAGAAGGGCATCTTCCAAATATCTTACAACCTGGGCAAGCTCATACGCTGACTTTCAAATACCTTGCCCCCTAGCCATATAATTATAGCCAGCACTTTGAATTACATCCAAAACTGGCCAAGTATCCAGAGAAATTATGACAATTGAGTCACATGCTCAATTGTAGCTAGCCCAAAGAGAACAAAATTGCCACGGCATCCTGAGTCAGCCAAACTTTCCAAACACTTTTCAAAGTTAGCCCCGTGTAAAGCATGCTAAGAATTGTCCAGACGTGGTGTAACTGAAGCATATGTCACCATGGCAAGATTATTTTCAGGAATGCATGTAGCTGGCACATTAAGCTGTGCAAATCCATTTGTGGCTAACAAGAAAACCTGAGCATCAAGGTTCAGGGCTGAAGCCAGCAGTACCTAAATATCACTGATCCACTTTAAGAAGAACATTACTGTACTGTACTGGGAGTTTACAAAATTTTACCTTCTTGAAAGAAAGTTCATTTTGGTTACAATGAAGAGGTAACATTTCTAGAAGACTTAAACAATTATTTCATTCACAACCAGATGGGGGGCAACCCTAGACTTACTCCCAAGTGGAGCTCAAGAGCTACTGCAAGAAGTCAGAGTTGTTGAACTGAATGGAAGCATAGTCCACTGCGCTATTAAATGCAATTTAAATAGTAAATTACCAAGGAACTCCAATACAGCCATATTTCATTTTAATAGAGGAACATTTAAAAAAATTCCCTCATTTTAGATAAAGTTGAAAGGAAAAGTCTAGAGTGTTAAATATCTCTAGAGTACTCTGGAGTTACATAAAACCACAGCAAGAAATATTCAAAACTTAAGAGGTCTCATGCATGATTAACAAGCACTGTCAAGGAAGTTGCTAGAGAAAAGTTTTCCTTCAGAAAAACAATGCCCTGTTCAGACATGAACAAATATAAACTTGCACAAAGAAAATAAAGCAGGTAATAAGGGATGCAAAAATGGATTTTGAGGAACATATAGGTGATAATGTTAAGACTGGAAACAAGGGCACACTTTTATGCATGCTTAGTCAGAAAATAGTCTTAGAGTTCCCAGCATTCCACAGCTAGCCATGAAGGCTGGGTAATATGTTTCTGTATATAGCTCAGGGGTGGCCAAACCAAGGCTTGGGAGCCACATGCAGCCCTTTTGAGTTTATTTTGTGGCTCACAGTGGCTTATTTTGTGGCTCACAGAGGGCTCTTCTCCCCCCAGTCCAGATCCAGTGATGGCACAAGAAAGCTCCCGAGGCCACTATCCTGTCCCGCTCTCTACCTTGCCACAGCATGTCCCACCTGCTCCTGATGATGAGTACTTTGGCAGTTCTTCTTTCTAATGGCCCATTCCTTTGGGAAGGGCCCCCCACAGTTAGTGTTTCTGGTGTCTATGCATTTTATCAAGCACATTAAAAATCATACACTGATAAGAACAAGCATGCATAAGGTCATAATACATAAATAATATTTTTTTTTCATGTCTTGCGACTCTCAAACATCTGAAATTTACCATATATGGCTCTTCTGTTGAGCGAGTCTGGCCACCCCAGTATAGCTTGAAGTGCCTGATGCTGCCTAATCTAAGAAGCCAAGCAGGGTCAGCCTGGTTGAAATCTGGATGGGTGACTTAATATTGTGAACCACCCAGAATGATTATGGTGGTGGTGGTGACAGGGACCTTTATCTGTCTAACTGTTCATACAATGGTGCCATAAATTTATATGAAGCAGAAAATCAGCTAGTAAGCCAGTTGGACTACTGGATGAGAACAGAGTTAAAATACTACTAAAGGAAGAGAGGCTTGTCCATGTATATGAATATTCATAGCAGGTTAAAACTGTTTTCAGGAAATCAGACAAGGCGCATTTACGAGTTTTTTTAAGTTTAGGAAAGAAATGATAGACATGTATAAAGCAAGTGGGCTAATAGTATTTTTGTGCAGGATAGTAATTTAGTTGCAAAACTAGGTTAAGCCAAAGGCTTCATACTATCCATTAGTAACCTACAGCTTCAGGCTAATTTGCTCAAATAGGATAGATGGCCCTGTTTGTTTGTTTCTGTACCACCAGATAGCCAAAGCACTCTACACAGCTCACAAAAAATTAAAAGCATAATAAATTACATCAGAAAAGTTTAGAACTACAATATAAAGATAAAAATAATAACCAAATAGAAGCTAGCAAGAATGGAAAGTTTTAAAATAGAATACCAGGTTTAAAACAGAAGCTGAAAAAGCAAAATATCTGGCAAAATAAAGATCTCTTCATCTGGCACATTGTAGTTTGGCAGCTTGTCTGAATCAGATGAATAGTCGGCAGGATCCAACGGTGAGAAGCGGTTAGAGGGTGAGGAAACTCTTTGAGGCAGAGCAGGCTTTATGTAGACAGGTGACTGAGCTGCAAGGACTGCTGTCCACAGTTCCTCCGTGTGATAGGTTGAGGGACCCCACTGCTAATAATAGTGAGGGTTTGCTGGTGGCGGCAACAGCACCCAGTAGGGTTACCAGCTCCAGGTTGGCACCAGGGACCTGGACCATTCCCTTGGCTGAAGAAGTCACATGATGGCACTGGAGAAAAGGTGCCATGCAATGGCCTGGAGGCTGGTCTCGGTGGCTGCATCAAGGACTGTTGCTCCCAATACAGGGAGTACAGCAGCTTGGCAGAAAGAGTACCAGTAGGCTGGCTGGAGTAGTTCTTATTTATTTAAAACTTGTCTACCCCGTCCACCACTGACATCTCAGGACGGCTAACAATAACGAATAAATAAAATAAACAAAACAAGCACAGCATCCTGCAACTCCAGATAAAAACCCCAGTTTAAACCAACTAGACATTAAAATAGTGGGAAAACTAAAAAGTCTGGGATGGTGAGTCCTGTATTTCTCCTTCAGAGAAGGAGAGCATCATGGCCAATTCAGCCCAAACCATCAAGGGTCCAGATGGAGGCACCAGCACAGGAACTGCAGCAGGAACCACTGGCGGAACAGGCATGCATGCGTGAACAAACAACACCAATGGTGAGTGATGTCAAGCCTGTTTCTTGGGTTTGTCCTTGCCCTTCTTTGCCACCATTTGCTCAGCATCTACCATCTTATGGGCCATCTTGGCTGCCTTCTTCACCCACTTTTTTAATGGGTGTGTGCTTAGATGTGGGTGGCACAGTTGGAGCAGCTGTTGGAACCCCAGCAGCTACCAGTGGAGGGTGAGAAGCAGGAGTTGCCCATGAGGTTGAAGGGTGCTACAGTGGCACTGCCATGACCAAGTCAAGAGTCATAAGGGCATGGGTCCACATCTCCAACTTGAGCTGGCCTGCTTGTTTTTCCTGAGCTTGCTGTGTGAATGCCTGATAGTGAGGTCAAGAATCCACACAGAGATCTTTGCCTAAGCAAACTAAGCATAAGGGGTGCCCATCAGTAGAGGGCATGTGTGCCCATCAGTAGAGGACATCATACACATTTCCTAAAAGCTGCCTTGTGCACCATCAGGGAGAGAAAGAAGAAAAGAAAAGATAGTTGAGAGGCTATTCAAAAAAGAGAGAATGATAGAATGGGGTTTTTTTTGGTGTGGGGGGATAAGGGGTGGAAAAAGTCTGGGTTCTGAATACAAGAAAGAAGCGAATAAAATGAGTTGGAGAAAGAGAATAGGGCAGCAGAAGGTTCTAGAAAGCGATATGAGAATGTGTTAGGAAAGATCCAAGGCACTCACAATGGAAAATAACAGATCAGAAAAGAACTGGGGAAAATGACAAAAGCCCCTCCTAAACATACCAAGGGGAGGGAGGGCAGGGCTCCCACCAGAACAAGTTTAACTGCGAAAATCCTTCCGACAACAGGCCCCATGCAAACTTAGAGCCCATATGTGTGATACACAGATACTATTAAGAAAAACTATTCCAAACTGCAGAAAATGAATCAGTACAAATCCAAAGAAAAATATATCAACTAATATGGAAAACAAAACAATGGTCCACAGACTGGCAATGTTCAAATTATATTCCAATCCCCAAGAAAGGAGATTTAAAAGAGTGCAGCAACCATAGGGCCATTGTACTAATTTCCCATGCAAGCAAAGAGATGTTCCAAGAGTAGGACCAAAGAACATTACCCTACTTGGGAGTAGGAAATGCCTGACACTTGTGATCATATTGCAAATATACATTTCCTACTGGAGTGCACCAAGAAAATTCATCCACACTATTGTATTCCCA